GAGAATATCACCATCCTCCCAGGGTACATTAAATCAGGTGACAAATGCATATTAGCTTAGTGCCCAGGTACATGTGGAAGTTAGTCAGCTTATTATATCGTTATGTAGATTTAATTATATGATTTTTATGAATGCATGGTATATTTTGTTACAGTTTTTCCTCTAGATGTCTAGGTTTTAAATGGATAATGACATGTGTTTTCATTGTGTTTGCTTTTATCTTTCCTGGGCCTTTTGAGAGACTGAAGGTTTATTGTCTTTAATTTCTGTATAGGAATAGCTTTGAGATTACAGAGATATATCCCCTAGGTTAGAAATCGGAAAGGTGAAAGCCATTATAAAAGGATCAAATAGGCTTTCTTTTACAAAATAGCAAAATAAATGCTTATTGATCTTATATTTGGAGGTTATACTTTGCTATTTGTCTGAGTTCAAAAGGAATTATATAGATGATAATACAGCTTTATATAACTTTGGTTTTGTTTTTTGGTGCTGGGAATTGAACTGTGAGACTTGTGCTTGTGTATGCTACTTGTACACTTTGCCACTGAACTAAACCCCGGGTTCCATTATATTATTATTATGTAGATTTTAGAATTCATTTTAGAATAAAAGCACACTCAAGTAGCGCTATGTAAATAATGATATCTTAAGGCTTTTTATTTTTATCAAAAATTTTAAATAAAAGTGCTAGTTCCTTAAATTAACACTTTTTTTTTCAAACCATAATCACTAAAAATTTTCAACACCTTTTCATGTTACATATTTCCAGTTAATAAGCTTGTATGGTTCTGTTTCTGTTTTTAATGTTTGCATATCACTTAATCATTTTTAGTTATGATGACTAAGGATTTATAAATTCTGGTTAGGCAGTATTAGTTGTGTATATATGGTTAGAGAAATACTGTTTACTGCTGCATTAAATTAACAATATTCTCTTTTTTTTTCCTGAAGTCATTAATTCTGTATGTATCTTTCAGTACTGTTTCTACAGAGACAATTATTAATCTATCAGTTCTGCCTTTTTATGTTCTCTAAGCCTGGAAATTTCTTAGTGTTTCTTTTATGTTTGATTTCTGGTAGTTCTTGTTTCTGCATCTTCTATTATGATTTATTTCCTTGTTTAGAGGAAGGCTGTTATTCAGATGCCAGGTTTTCCTTTCTGGAGAAAATGTGCATTTTCAGGTATTTTTTTTTAGGGGAAAATTTTACATCATCATGTGTCTTAGTGATTTTCTTTGTTGCTCAGACAAAATACCTGAGCTCAGACAAAATACCACAAATTAAGGTTGAAAAGCTTTCTTTTGGCTTATGTTTTATAGATGTTTTAAGTCTGTAGTTGACTGGGTGCAAGGCAGGCAGCATGGTGAAAGGGCATGGCAGAGAAGGGCCTCATGGCACGGCAGCCGGAAAGCAGAGAGAGATGAAGGGAAGTGGGAGCCAGATATACCCTTGTAGGCCACATCCCCAGTGACTTACCTCCTTTGACCAGGCTAATGCCCCAACATCACATTTAGCTATAAATTCATGAGTTGACTGCTGATGATTATCATGTTCCATGATTCAGTCACCTACCAGAAGTTCTGCCAGTGAGCATGTGAGACTTTGGAGGGACATGAAGATGTAGACTATAACATTATGTTTTAAGTATATAACCATATATTTCAATAATAGCATAGCTAACTAGATAATTCTGTATTAAAAATAATTTATCATACAGTTTTGCTGGCTTTTTACCTTTTAGATTTTTTCTTGTTGAGAAATTTAATGTCAATCTATCTTTTTGCTTCTGGAATTTTACATGTTTGCTACTGTGAAATTTCACTTCATGTTTTGTTGAAGTTCTTTTGTTAGACTAAGGACTCCCTTTAAATCTGGCAATTAATGTCTTTCAGGTTTTTAGTATTTCTTAATTTCTGGTGTGGTCTTTAATATCTTCAAGAATTTCTTTATTCTCAGCTTCTCAATATATGTCCTTAGATTGATCGACTAATTTTTTTCATCTTTCATTTTTTCCATTTA